TCTCCGACTCAGCTTAATTACTCATACTGCAAGTACGCGCTGACAACATAATTACTTCAGTCGATACATCGTCCTGATTAGTATTCAAATTCATTCTCATAGCGTGATACTGTCATTACATTTTGCCAACTACTGGCTATGTTGTTGCTCCAAATTGTGTGACGTGCACGATGAACCGCGACGTACTTCTCCCTACGCGCATGTAAACAATTATATATTAATAGTTAAACAACATACCTTATCCATGACTAAACAATCATGAATTAACAAGCAAACTAATTAACCATTTAGCCTAATAATTAAGTTCTATGTTTGTTTTAGCATCGTTATGTATATTGCAGATGTTTGGTTCAATAACTATTCAAAAAAAAAAAAAATAAATAAATAACTTTAAAAATTTGTGAAGCATTTTTTTATAAAATTTTATATCATTTTTCGTTCTGCATTATAAAATATTTTTTGCATACGTATTCGATGACTTCTTCAATTGACTTCTCCGACAGAAATAACGTTGTTTCTTTATGAGTGCGAAAACTAGGTCAGATGGAAAACGCTAAGAGGTCTTTATCTCTTCTGGGTAGTTGGTCCGATAGTATTTGCGATCTTAAATAGGCAGACTCTTACATTGATATATTAGTGTTCTCTTTATCGTCTCGTCAAGCGTCGTCTGTTAGCCGCGAAGTACGTTGTGCGAAAATTACGAATCCCATCGCGAAAAACTGCCCGAAATCTTCCTTTTTAGTGCCTAAAGTACGGCAGCTGCAGCTCTGATGAGATTCCTGGCCGAAGTCAAGAGAAGTTAAATTTGGCGAGAGGAAGATGTCGGAAGAAAGTTTTCATTCCGCCGTCTATAAAACGGCAAAAACATTCTCGTGGCGAATCCTCGCGGAGTCCCTAGCGCTTCCGGTTCAAGAAGCGGCTAATGCACGAAATTGATTTAACTTTCCGTAATAAAGTCGCTTATGTTGTGCCAGCGAAAAAAATGAATGTTGATAGCGTTTATCTTCGTTAATACGGAACGAGATGAACGAGATGAACGAGATGAACGAGATGAACGAGAGACGCACACACACATATTTTTTTTAGCATAATTAAACGCATCTAATATAATTTTAATCAGTAGATTATTGGAAACATGTGTAAGTTTGAAGCTTTAAAATCAAGCTTTGAATTCAAATTGTACATACTGAATAATTAAAAGTTAATTATTTATTAATTATGTATTTCATATTTAATTTTTATTATATTTTATTCTTTATTTGCCTTCAAATTAAATTAAATTTATAATAAATTTGATTATTCGTGTATGTATTTTATTTTTATATTTTTATGCAAAAATCTGCATGAGATGGAAATATGTGTAACGAACCATCTATTGAGATAATAATTATTAATTGCATATATATTATCTGTTGAATTCATAAATTATATTTTTTATCATATCTGGGTTTAGTTTTTTCTTTGGTGTAGAAAGATATTTCTCAGGAATTCTATTATGATGGAATTTTTCTGATGCTTCGATATTGAAATACTGGGTCAAAATTGGTTCTAACGAGAACTCCGTGATGCAAAATGTCAAAATTAAAAAATGTTTTGTAATAAATTAATAGAAATGCATTGGTACTGAGAAAGAATTAAAATGAAAAAAAAAAAACGGATTCTAAATTAGTGAAGGAAGAATTTCTTAATGTTTGAAACTTCTTCTTTCACTAACTAATTCAATCATTTTAATTACTTTATTTACTGCGATAATAATAATAATGTTGAATTAATATCAAACTGATGTAAATTAGAGAAAAGCAATTTTAATAATCAAGTTTCGCAGCACTTTCGCGATTACATGTTAGTTATGAACAATGCGCGTCCTTCCAGCTTTGAGCTTGTATTGAATAATATAATAGAAAACTTATTGAAACTTCTCGCTTTAGAGATACGTGTGTGTCGCTCATTTTCAGTTGCCTTGAATAAAGATCCATTTGCAAGGGGATTAATATGAGGAACTTCCAAGTTGTCGTTTCCCGATGCAGTCGCAAAGTTCTAGCGACTCGGCAAACAACGTCCATACATCAATCGTGCATACTCTTGCAGATTCACGACGCCGGGCCATATTATCTCGGAAGGTAGGATCGTTTTCGGTTTTCGGATTAGTATGCTCCGGTAGACAGACTGAAACGAACTCCCGGAAATCTCAATCCGCATTACGTTTTCGTCTGCTCGCGTGCGCGCACGCCATTATGCCGGATTTCGTATTTGCTGTTAGCTGATAGCGAAGAATAGCGAGAACAAGTCTTGGAAATCCGTGGATGCTCGCGCCGAGGGGGGAAAATGATAGGAGAACTTGCAGAGTCGGCCGGAAAGAAATTAAAAAGAGCAGAGGGCCGTGCGACTTTTGAAAAATTATTTTCCGCGTCGTCGAGCGCGTTCTCCCCGGAAGCTTCTCGCAACGAATTTTCCGCGTTCCCCGTCATTTTCCGACAACCGGCATTCGTAATTGGATGCCTCGACTTTACTGGCTTACGACGGCTGAATCCCCGGGCTCGACTGACGGTTAACCGATAATCACGCGGACGACTCGACGAATTCATTAAGATCGTTATCCGGCGCGTCTTAGAATTTTAATTACCGTCGGCAAATCGTGTTTTGGCGAATTACATTGATCTACAATGTTTACATGTTTTTGGTATATTTTATTCGATATTTTGAAATTACGTATAATTCACAGTTTGTTTAAATAACAAACATACTGTATAAATATACTGGGAAATATTCAAGATGATAGTATAATATGCTTCACGAAATAATTACTTTCAAACCTTTTTGACTTAATAATATTTTTCGTTTTGCTCATAGATCAACGTACTGCTCATTCTCACTTAACAAACTTTTTAATCTGCACTTTTAATCTGCTGGGCACGTAAACATAGTAAAGAGGTCAGAGTTTAACAAAGTATCCAGCGAGCCAAACAATTTTGTTGAATCAATTTAATCTTCGCACATTTTTCCTTTTAGAGATTTTTATTTTTATCAATATTACCAGTTAAATCGAATATTAGATAGGTATTTATATTATAAAAAATATTTTCTATCTATATACGTATTTCAGTAAATGTTATATAAAATGATGTTAAATTTAATTTATTAAAAAAAATCATTTTGTTGTTTTAAGAATTACGCGCATCTATTATTATTATTATATTTTATTGTCATTCTATTTTAAGTATAATTTTTTTTACATGGAAATAAAAACCATTGATTATCCGTTCAGCAAATTATCATTATCTTTCAATAAGGAAGAACAGAATGGATCAAAGAACCGATGGATGAAAGGAAATATATCTCGTCTACAGACCATGTATATGGTTTTTTTTCCTTCCTTTTAGTCTTTCTTTTGCGGAGACAATATATTGCCTCGATCTCACGATCAATCTTCCTCCTTCGCTTGCTAGCCTGTACGTTTATAGTCTTCTCTCGAGGCTCGCGATACGAATTTCGCTGAGAAATAAATTCCGATTGATTGTTTCGCGATAGAAATTCTCCATTCGCTACAAATGTTTGTCTTTGTTTGGCGATCGATTCAGAACGCATATCAACTGTTCTAAGAGTCGCCGACCTAATGGCACGTCTCTAATGTCGATGCAACTTCGAACGTGATCAACTCGGTCGAATCGTTAATCCAATTTACTCTACGAGGAGTTCCTCGAAAGTTTCGGCTAGTGCGGCGTGATCGGTTACTTGGACCGGCTTATGATAATCAGTCTCGAAAGAACTTTGAACTCGACGTCGAAGTTCGCACAGTACATATATTTGTTCCTTCCTTATGAAAGCAGACTTTTGTAAGTAAAGCAAACATCTTGTTTACAATTTTATTTATCAGTGAAGAAATAGTCTAAAAAAACTTTAGTTATTTTGTGTTTCAATTTTTTCGATAAAACTTTTATTATACAAAGACTTATTTTTACTTTATATTTAAAGAAAATGTTATATAATAATTTTATTTAATTGTCGTATTTTTGTTTTAAAGAACGAATACAAAATTTTCTTTTTATTTATTACGAGAATATTCTCGAATTCACTTTCTGGCTGAATATAGTTCTTTGAATATAGACGATGGATCGATAAAATCCAGAGCACGCATCTAGTCAAGAAAGAAAGAAAATAATACTGCGATGCGCAACAGCATAACACTTTTTCGTTGCGATATGAAACAAATTGAAAAATTCTTTCGTAGTAAAAGTCGAGTTTTTCTATCGTACACGAAAAAACAGCAAACAGCTATTCGAAGCTTCGCGAATCGCATGTTAAAATAGTTGCATACATTTAGCAAGCAGTGTTTGTCATTCTTCCTGCAATTTTAAAAAGATCTTCACAGAGTTCTATTTTTTCGTTTTTTAAAGAGATGTTTGTGAGAATATCGATTGCGAGGAATACCGCTCAAGGTAGTTAAAAATTAAATATCCTGATATCGCGAAAAAACTTTCAACTCGGCTAACTACGTATAGAAAATCAATCGCGATGGGCGTAACTAGTCTTATAATTGGAACGGTCGAGATACTTTGGAAGTAAATAAAAAAGAACAGTATGCCGAGAGATTAGATTAAGATATAAAGCGACAAAGTTCATCCTCTCCCTTCAATTGATATGTCCAATCATTATTTTCATTTTGAGCCATTGTTCTTATTTCTTGAGAATTGAGCCATTGTTCTCATTGTGAAAAATTTGTTTTCACAGCGATCTCCCGGATCGCCGCATAGATCTTTAATGCATTAATTTACACAATGATGCTAATTAATACATCTGGCTTCGATATTAACTTACATATTCTAATTGAATAGCCATTATATACTTGTTAATTAAACTGCAGCATTGCATTGTTCAAATGTGTTCAATTAAGTGCTATTTGTTCCTTTACAAAAACTGCAGAATATGCTTTCGCATTTTATTGTTATTAATATGTTTGTTTCTCATGATTGAAGAATCAATGGAACGGCGAAGAAATAATGGGCGAATTGATGTATAAATCTGACTGCCATGTAAAAACTAACGAAACTTTACCATTTTGTAGACCTATGCTTTGCCAATAGCCCTTTCTTCTGGATATATCCGGTATCCGGAAGGTGTATTCCAGATTCCCAGCCCCTTCGGTCCACAATAGCTTCAAGGAGGCTTGATCTAATAACGATCTCAAATTCACGATCGGACATGTATCAACGACGTACGAATTGCTTATTAACTTCGGAGCGCTTCTGTGTTCCAGTATTTCCACGACGTACCACTTGCCCATTATCTGTAACAGAACATAAGAATAATGTGAAAGATTATTATCGTGCAATACGCTTGGCGCAAGTAAAAAGAAAGTTATTATTTTGAATAAGAAACACGGCTAAATTTACGGGCAAGAAAAAAATCGACTCTAAACTGATCGAAAAGCTTGCTTGAAAGAAGGGAGCGCGGAACACTCATTGTCAGTATGTGTATGAGAGAGAGTTGAGGTAATCCAGCAACTTTGGCGGAGGTAGGTATGGATAATTCCGTGAGGAGCTTAAAGCAAATTACGGGCGATTTATTGGCCGAGCGGCCGTTTAGTGATTAAGCTCGTGGAAATAATATCGGACGGGCTGAATAACCGTTGAATCTCGCCCCGGCATAATGCGTGCGAGGGTTTTTCACTTTTTTTCCTTTTCTGAGATCAATCGAGAGAGAAACCGATTTTATACCTTCGTGAAATCTTTTTAATCGGATTGCACCGCAAAGATTATCCAGTATAATCTTTCTCCTATTTATCTTTTATCATCCGAAGTGTCGATTGATTTCGCAACTCGTTAGTTTTTTAACAATATAATAACAGCGGAGATTTTATATTCATAGAATATTAGCTTTAAGAATCACGAAGGTAATAAGGAGTTTGTCAATTTTGCACATTGCAGTAATACGTTTTCGAAAACTCGGTCAAAGATATAAATAGCTAAAGAATTAATTTTAAAAGATAGCTTCAACAACTATCGTGGAGATCAAAGATTTTTGTCGGTCTCAGTTGCAGCAGCGTCGAAAAGCGCAGACCACAAAATCGGTCCTACGATATTGCGTTAAGAAGCTAAAAGTTAATTTTGACGATCTTTCCAGGCAAAGTCGGGCAGCAGCGCGGTTATTTATAAAGAAACTCAATCCACAGAGAGCAAATTTTGCTTGGTATGCAATAAGTATGGCTTATACTTTTACGCTATATCGTGGTAAAACTCGCTTTAACTCCATTCTAATCTATATGCAAAGTTTCATATTATACCGAAGCATAATTGTTTATTCAGTCCGCGTGTACATTTAACATGGCATACGACGCTAATATATCCATTGAAAGCGCTTAGTTTCGAAGTTGATGTTCCGCAGTGATGCAGATTATCAACTTGTTGAGCTCAGATAGTACGATACTCGGTTTTACCCGCGGGGAATGCTAAGGAGAGTTTGTTGAACAATGACCACAATAATCCTGCCAAGGCCCGAGATCCGTATAAAGGATCCTCGCCTCGCTTTTATGCTATCAATGAATTTCCAGTCTCGTACGGACGTGCCTCTGTTACGTCGGGAATATTCATAGAAGATATAATACGGTCAAGTGCCATTCTTATTAGTCCTCTCGTGTATTCTCTCTCCTAAAATTCCGTAAATTGCTTGCTTTCAATCGATAATTATTCAAAAATTGCGGATTACCTTGACATGTTCGGAATTCAGCCGAGGAATCTTGAATAAAAGAAATATCCGGTGAATCTGGAACGTATTCTATATATAAATAAACCGGGCAAAATGGAAAGAAGCAGCATGCACTTTTTATCTCTCGTTTTTTATCGAGTCAATATGCACGTGTTCACATGTATTTATATGTGTATGTAAAGGCACGTATGTGCATGAATATCCTGTCCTTATTGTACCGGAAAAGCGCCGTAAATCATTGTCGTTGAGGTGTACGTGATACTGGGTCACGGCGTGGCCAGGGGATTAAAATTAACGAGATAATAAATATGGCCTTTGTCGAATTGGGCCGCAAAAAAATCCAATTGCCATTTTGAGGGAATCGAATTGTATGAACAATTGCGCTCGCGGTTATTTGCTGAAAATTGCGCTCTTCTTGCAACAAACGCGCTGTGATTCTATGCAAATAACATTAATTGGAGAAAATTAAAGGTTATATAAAATAATGCAAAATTAAATACACATTTCAGAATTGTGATAGAAGAACGCCGATCAATATAAAAATAAAAAATAAAAGTTTATTAATTTTATATTTTCTACAACAATCTCGATTATTGAGTTTTTAAGCGTACACATGCTTTTTAATACTTTTATATAAAAATACGACAAGAAAAACTAGGCAATTTTAAAGATAATTTTATCTTTTCAAAAAAGTTTCCACGTTCAAAAATCCGCTGTTGTGCCCTAAACAATAATCTGCGCTAATAAGTCTTGTGGCGAGAAACTTCGATGTGCGGCCAATAATGAATTTTATCAAGTTGTTTTATTATCTAATTTTATAAATAAGACATGGAACGTCGATACCTGTACATTGAAATTAAGGAAAGTTTAATCAGTATCCAAAAGAGAATAAGATTACATAAAGCGCTCGGGACAGATAACCCGCATCATTATCGTGCTGGTCTTGTAATTTATATCGCTAACAATAACTGGATAAACGCAAGCCTCGAGTTACCTTCACTCAAGTTGCGAAAGTAGTTAGAAAAGTTTAATTGATGCCCAGCAGCAGCTACCATTATTCCGTGCAACACGATTACGTTACACGTTCCCTTGAACATTTCCGATTTCTAAATTAATCGAAATCTCAACCACCTTGCATTTTGTTGCATGCTGCGAAGTGTTAGACGTTCTGTATTATACTTATTGTTTAACATTTTATTAAAGCAAAATCGCATAAATTGCATGAGAATGTGTAGGTCAAAAGTTAGAAAAGTTTTATCAGAATAATTAACAAAATTATATTTTTTTAAATTGATTAATTTATATGAACTTACTTTACGATAAATTTTTTCTTGGTATGCTTTCTTTATTATTTACAATTGTATTCATTATTTTTTTTTTTACTAAATATCTGGTCCCCTATTTCCGTACAAATTTTCCGTTTAATATTGCGCTCAAAAAATTCAATCCGTCTAGCAACGAAAAATCGTATTATTTATAGGATGAACTGATATATTCACTGTGGCATTTCCGGTCTATGCAAAATGTAATAAATGTATTTTTTTGCGAATTGAAAGCATCGTCGATATGAAATAGTATAACAATCGGAGGGCTTTAAAAGCACGGTGTTCCGAATAACCTTATATCCCTTTACTAGATTTAACGTTCATTTATTTTAACCAGCAGTTTTTCACGTGGGAAGATTTGCCGCATAAAATTGGATAAAAACCGCCGCTGGACCACAACGATTTTAAGCCCGACGCATTGCCAAACTAAATCCGCGTTATTTGTGCAAAAGTGCAATTGAAGACATACTCGCAAAAGTAGCCTTATTTTCATTATCTATTTTTTTTTTTTTAATAAAAGCAAAACTGCATTTATATTTTCTAAATAAAAAATAGTATATAATTAATGTACGTTCTGATTAATGTCCGATAACATTTGACTTATTTTTATCTTTTCACTTTTAAGACAATTAAATTAATGATTATTTTTGCAACAGAAGCAATCTCGCATCTTAATCAAGTTCTTGCATATCGCAATCCTTTAAGATTAATGATTTATATGGTGGCAAGTGAAACGTTCTGTGCAACAATTTTTACTGTTTAAGAAATTAGCGATTAACTCGGTGAACTTTGCGTAAATTCAGTTATAATTACAAGCCGAATAATATATATGCATTTCGTCTGGACGCAACGACGCTGGGCAGAATTGCTGGGAAATAAACCGGCGCGTCGCGCGAGGATAAATTTTCGTTTATTAGACACTACCGGACATCCAGCGCGAGCCCCCAGTCGTGACTTATGCATTCGCTATCGTAACGAGAACGTCAGCATTTTCACGGGAATATTGCAGTAATTAGTGAGGTAAATTACCGCGCGCGTATGCTGTCTAATAGCAGGTAATTTCCGAAATAAAAAACGAAGTAGTGCGAGAAGTACGTTTTTTTTCAAGTTACACCTCGTTCTGCTGCCTCATCGATCACGCAGAAAGAGCAGCTATTCAAATATATTCCGCTGCCCAAACTCCGCTCGCTATTCGTGCATCCTCTCGCTTCGGGAGATACCTCGCAGCGATATATACTTTACTCGCATATACGCATTTCTCATGTGTGAGCGGTAAGAATAGTTCAAGAATATTCACTTTATGCCATTTCAAGCACTTTATCGAAAACACTTTTCCTTTCGTCATAATATACATTTTGCAAATTGTGGAGCGCGACTCGAGATTCTCGCGGCCATAATTTTTAGGACGGCACTGAAAAGGTAGAGCAGACTGGAGGATTCATCGGTTCCCGGTAGTTTCGGGGCTGCCATCCGACAGCTGGCAATTTTTCCTGGAGGCGTGCATTTGCATCTTTACGACTTTCGACAGTGCCCACCGTCGTTCGCGTCGCGACGCCACTCCGACACCGAGAGATGAGCGGCAAAAATTGCACCGAGTAGAGTTGTGTACGATCACAGTTTGGAGAGAGGAAGGGAAAAAGAACGCGGAAAGTCCCTCGTCGAGCCCAAGCGGCACATTGTTGTATTTATACGTTTATTAAATTCCAAGCCGGAAGCTGAATTTTCCAAGCTGAATTTTCTTACAACGCGACATTCGCAATATGAAATTCTACTTTTCACAAGTTATAGTGGAACCTGACCACTGATAAAAAACCAAGAAAAAATTTACTATCAATAATAAATAATATAATGACAAATATATTTTTATATATTTTCTTCCGTACGAATATAGAGAAAATTAAACATTCAATATTTTCCATCAAATTTTTGCACGTGATAAATACTTTTAATACTATTTTTCTTTATTTTGCCTTTAACATTATTTTTCTTTCAAGTTATAAAATTGTAATTGGAAATTTTAGAGTGACTCGTACAGCGTCAAAGCAGTGGACGGTCTCAATATTAAAAACCATAATAAATACGCAACAACGTCATACAACATAGAAAGTAAATCGCCTGTGCAGCCGCTACAGGAGTGTCGGTTTTTAAAATAAATTGTCACGTTGCAGTACCTGTACAAAAGGAATTTAATTAAAACGCGGGAATTTGCTTCCCATCGATTCGACATCGCGTTCGAACTCACATTGACTCGTTATCA